GTTATTAAATAATTTTAAAAAAATTTGAACTTTAAAAAAACATTTATTATTTTTATTTTATATGTATGAGTATATTGCCCGCATGTAGGTAAGTGCATCTGTGTCATGCAATCCCCACGGAGAACAGAAGAGGCCGTTGGATCCCCTGGAACTGGAAATATGGACAGTTATTAGCTGCCATGTGGGTGCTGGGATTCAAACCTGTGTCTTCTGTAAGAACAACCAGTGTTCTTAACCAGTGAGCCATCATTTTTATTTTATATGTATGAGTATATTGCCCGCATGTAGGTAAGTGCATCTGTGTCATGCAATCCCCACGGAGAACAGAAGAGGCCGTTGGATCCCCTGGAACTGGAAATATGGACAGTTATTAGCTGCCATGTGGGTGCTGGGATTCAAACCTGTGTCTTCTGTAAGAACAACCAGTGTTCTTAACCAGTGAGCCATCTCTCCAGCCCCTCAATTTTTTTTTTAAAGAAATACTGAAGTAATATTCAGTTTGGTTTTTATGTCAGGCTTAGGAAGTTAAAGCTCAAAATATCTCAGAACTGTAAAATTTGAAAAGCAAAGGAAGAAACTAAATTGACTAGAGGGGGTTAAGAGAAGTTTACCATGACATCAAACCTATTCTTGTCTTCAAAAATATTATTAAATTTATTTATTGTGTGTGTATGGGGGGGCATGACAGAGGACAACTTTTAGGAGTTGGCTCCCTCCTTTCACCATGTGGGTCCCAGGGATTGATCTCAGGTCATCAGGCTTTGGTGACAAGGGTCTTTATCTGCTGAGCAATTTTGCTGGCCCTTCTTTTTTTTTTTCATGTATTTTCTTATTTGTGTGTTTGTATGTGCACATGTACACATGTGTGTGTGTGTGTCTGTCTGTCTGTCTATGCACAGACCAGCTGTTAATACTGAGTGTTTTCTTCACTGAACCTGGAGATCACTGATTCTACTAGATTGGATGGCCAGCAAGCTACAGAGATCTGCCTGTTTTACCTCCTCATAACTAGAATTTACAAGTGATTTGTCACCATCCCTGACTTTTACATGGGTGCTGGGATTAAACTCAGGTCCTTATACTTATACTGCAAGCAAGTTAAAGACTGAGCCATCTCTTCAACTCTGTATTTTATATTTTTTGAGACAGTCTCATGCAGTCAAAGTTGGCTTCAAATACACTATGTAGGCAAGAATGACACTGAACTTCTAATCCCTCTTGCCTCGACCTCCCAAGTACTGGGGAGTGAATACAGCGTCTTATGCTTGCTATTCAAACACTATACTAACTGAACACTCTCAGCCTTCTTGTCTTTAATTTTCACACCACCTACTTACAACATAAGAGATCTTTGTCAAATATGAAAAAGATTTTCTAACAAATTTTTAAAGCTAATTAAAGGTACTTTGGAAATAACACCTCACAATCTCTAAAAGGATTAACAACATTTTATGCTGAGTAAATAAAAGAATCCTGAAATCACTATTGCAGAGGATAAAGGGCCACTAAACTCATTTTCATATAAGTGCTACAATTTCTTAATTATGTCCAAATCTTTTGGAATTGCAGAAAATATAACAGTACTAACTATAACTAGACTTTTGAATTTGAGTCTATACTAAACCAATCTTGTCTAGAAAGGTACTTTTTGTATTTTTTTTAATTTTTAAAAAATTTTATAGAATAACCACATGATTAGAAGAAGCACTCTTTTACAGCTTTAACATATTCAATAACAATTTCCAGAGCAAAGATACATCTCTTTCAAAAGTGGTTGTAAATGTTTAGGTTCACAGTTGAATTAATACAGTTATACAATATTATACTCAGTATAAACCCTGTAAGACATAAAATTAAATGACATTTTAAACTTTAAAAAAGATCTCCATTTCACTATTAAAATACCCAGTTTCATACAGAAAAATTCATTTTCAATACAACTGACATTAAGACATTTGCACGTGCATCTCTAATCTCTATACAGCTGACTCTGGCTCTTATGAACTTTCTGCCCACCTCTTCTGTGAAATTCCCTGAGCCTTGGAGGGGGTGATAGGTGTGGGACAATCATGGAATGATATTGACCTCTTGGGCCTCCCCATCATTCGTCTTCAAGACATGGCCATTGATCCATCTCAGTGGTGACTGCAAAGATGAATCTCTTTCAAAAGTGGTTGTAAATGTTTAGGTTCACAGTTGAATTAATACGCCAGTTGTGGTGGCGCACACTGGTAGGATATGCTGAAGAGGCAGAGGGAGGAGGATCACTTCTTGTATTTTTAACATACTGAGCCTAAATTACCTTCCTCTGCTACTCTTATTCTTTTAAGTTTAAATTAGAAACAGGAAAATAACTAAAGAACTTTACATCACCTAAATATCCTCCTGTGAGTTTTTGTTTACAGAATTAGCTTTTATCTTTGGAATTTCAATTTAAAATTCAAACGTTCCTTGATGAAATAAATCCTATTCAAACAACGTATTTAACAATAGCAAGTTATATTATAGAGAACTTCTAGTATGTGAACTTGAAGAAAACCTAAATTCACAATGATATCAAGTAGGTCTTTGATTCAGTCACTGAATCATATTTACTTTACTTTAAAGTAGTAGAGGAGAATCAGAATTGGAGAAGGCCTATGCACTCATCACTACCTTAACCCTGACAACTTTGACCATGAATAGATTCCTGTGTCTGCCTAACATCAAGGATTATTTGTCTCTATACACAGATACAATGCCAGGGGTCAAGCCACACACACTTAGAAGTTTTTAGAACAACAACTGATTTGGAGTATCTACTTTACTATGTTATACAGTAAGACAACAATATAGTATTCTTTGACAAGGGATAAACTACTATCAGAACACTTTTGATTTTTAGTGCAGAAACAGTTGACTTCATGGATTTGGATTTAGGATGTGCTACAGTGCAATGTACTTTGACATGAGACCTCAATTTCTCAGCTGACATCCCAGATTGATGCTTATTTTGGGTCTTTCTCTAGAAATTTTTTAAAATTTAAAGTTAGTGGGTTGGAAATATTAGGACTTAAGCAGAGTATTATTATTTTCTATAACCAAGGCTGTCCTCTTTTGATTACTTTTACAAAATAATATATGATGATGGAAAAATGTGACTCATTTTACAAAAATATATTACGAGAAAGTTTTCATGCCCATATCTCTTTGCTGAGGCAGGAATTTTTATATTTACAACACAGACCTGAAACACCTACATGTTTTTCTATATAACAAAACATGTTTCTCTTGGCACAATGCTTTATCATATTTGAGCAGGAATATAAATAGGTCATTCTTTGTACTTGGTCAGAAGGACGTTTAGCCATTAGTTTTGTTTAAAGAAAACAGTGAAGTGTATATAATAGCATAAAATATCTGCTAGCCTTTTCACTTTTTTACATGCACACAAAGTTACCATCTGAAGCCTTCTTCAATTCCGTTTTCAGTTTTTCCTGGTCTTCTACTAGTTTTTTATTTTCAGTTTCCAAAGTGTGTTCTTCATCTTTGTCATGGCCTTTTAGTACCTACCACAAAACAGTTACAGGACGATATAAGCTTAGATTGCAATAGCTAGATACTTTTTGAATTTTGAATAAACTAAAATTACTGCTTTTTTAAAATAAGTTTTAAAAATTTTATTTATTTTTATCTTATGTATATGAGTGTTATGCTTGCATGTGTGTGTAAGTGCAACTGTGTTGTGCAATGCCGGCTGGCAAAGGTCAGAAGTGTCTGATCCTCTGGAACTGGAGTTACTGATGGTTGTTAGCTGCAATGTGGGTGCTGGAATTTGAACCTGGGTCCTCTGCAAGAGCAGTCAGTACTCCTAACTGCTAAGCCATCTCACCAGTCCCTATTGGTCTTTTTAAAAAAATTAATGAATTAATTTTTACACTGACTTCCCAGATAGCACCCTCCCATAGCCTCCCTCCCCCCACTAGAGAGAGCCCTTATACTCTGATATCCCTGCTACTGTCTGCTGTGTTGTCGGCACCCCCAGCCATTC